CGGGAGAATCAGAGCGCTGGAAACTTTCACCCGTTAGCTGGTGATAGGTGGTGTGGCTGCAGGAATGGCCAGGAGCTAGTAAGAGCCGAAATTGCATGCTGGGTTTTGAGCTTAAGCTGTGGTTTGATTTGACTTTTTATCCCCAAAACATCAATCTATCTCTTTTTTTTTTTTAAAAAAAAAAATCTTTTTCTTTGGATCTTTCATCAAAGAGTTTGGCAATAAATGAAAACTTACAGATTCCTATAATGTCAGTAGTTAAAATTTTAATTTTAAAGTTGTTGCTTTCTAACACAGATGTTATTTTGGAGTGGCATTCTTACGTGTCCCCACATATATTAAACAACTTGCACATCCTAAGGGATTTGTTTCAAATCCAGAGCTTTAAGCTGCGGGGTTGAAGACAAAAACCAAAATACCGTTCCTTGTGTCAGCCATGCAGGATGGCTGGTGGGAGCGGTGTGTGGGAAGGTTACAGCTGCTGGATGGTGGGCGATTCCTCCCGTTCCCTTTCCCTCTACCTGTTTTGAGACTATCGCTTTGCCAGGACTCGAATGTCCCTTGTCTCGGTGTGTTAGGGTGACCTGTTTGTATTGCTTTCCTTCCAAGATGCTTAACTTGGTATGTGTTGAAAGAATCCCATGCTGGTAACGGAAGGATTAGGTGTTGTGCATATGCTCTGCTCTGCTTCGGTTTCTTCATTCTCCTAAAAAAAAAAATAATAATCTGATGCAATTAATAAAAGTATTTCCAATTACCTGTATATTGCTTTTTGTTCACACAACAGCTAGGTTGTATAAGGAGGCCTCTAGTTTGTGAATTGATTTGGAAGAGTTTCTTTTATTCTCCAATACTGCGTGGTGACCTAGTTAATTGGGAGTAATTACTGTCTAAATATATTGGTTTAACATAACAAAGGCTGTCTGGAAAAAAACAGGGAAGGGAAAGAATGGCTCAAGATAAACCACCTCTTTACAAACACTTAGGAGTTGTTAAGGGACATCTCCAGAGCTATTAGCAGAGACGGTTTTAACTTCACTATTGTAATTTAGCTCCTGAGGCTTGAAACAAAGCGGCAGAGCAAAAGAATTGATCTGAAAAGGAGCACTTTCTCTGGTTCTGTGGGTATTTTGTTGGAAAAGCACTTGACAGGGAAGAGTCATGGGATTCCCTTGGAGAGGAACGACTGGGATACCCATAGTTAGAACGGATTTGGTTGATAATACGGAGCTATAACCTTGATTTGCTGCCTTCTACCCCCTCACTTTCCGGCGGCTTGCTCTTCGGACTGAAATTGAGCACTGTGGTGATTTTCAGCAGGCTCACTTGGTCGCTGGGGTGACTTCTGGTTGCAGGGCTTTTTTTAAGAGTTTGAGCCTAAATCCCGTCAGACCTGCTCTGTAAGTATGGCAGAGCTACAAACTATTGCAGTCCAGGGCTGCTTTAAAAATGGAAAATTGCTTCATTTAGGAAAGGTAAGGAGGGCCTGACACCTGAAGGGCTATGTTAAGAAAGAGATGTATGGCCGTCCCTGTAATTAGGAGAGATCAGTCGTGTGAATTACACTGTCTGGATTTGGCATGCTCATCTTCGTTTCAGAGTTGTTTGGTTTATAGCAGTCCTTTATCTCCTACGACAGAGAGCAGAGGGGTAGCGTGGTGCAAGTCACACCTAGGAGGAGTAAATTAAAGCAGGCATGGCTGTGTAAGCAGAAGCCTTTAGCTGATAACCCCTTCCTCTCAGAAGTCTTAACTCTTCGTTCCTGTCCCTGCAGTATCTGGAGTTGGTGCTGGGCAATTACAACTGGGGCACGAGGGTTTTCTTGGGTAAAAGACCTAAAAGAAAGTTTATATATATTTTTTTAAAAAAGACAAATTTCAGGGCCTTGAGTGTGTTTGACCTTGAAGCCATCTCTCTCATTAATGTTTTCATTTGCTTGTAAGCACCACTAAAGTTGTGCCTGTAGAAGAAAGGAGAGCAGCAGGGTGTACTACTTCGGCTCCAGAACCTGCGAATAGTCAGATTCCAAATGGTTTGCCTCTGAAAATGGCACTCCCCGAGCAAAGCCCTGCATTCCAGCTGACACTTGGGGGGTTTGGGGGGCAGGGAAGGAGGGAG